GGTTTTAGCCAACTATAGACCTATTTCTAATCTTCCGTTCCTCTCAAACATTCTTGAGAAAGCAATCGCAAAACAGTTGTGTGATTACTTAAAAAACAATGATTTATTTGAAGATTTTCAGTCTGGCTTTAGAACACATCATAGCACAGAGACAGCTCTGGTTAAAGTCACAAATGACCTTCTAATAGCCTCAGACAAGGGACTTGTCTCTATTCTTGTTTTGCTCGATCTCAGTGCTGCATTTGATACTATCGTTTGCTATCCTGACTCCAAAATGGTGGAATGAGCTCCCCATTGAAATCAGGACAGCAGAAAGCTTACACATCTTCCGGCGCAGACTGAAAACTCATCTCTTTCGACTCCACTTCGAGCGATAGAATTACTAACAAAGCACTTATATACTAATAAAGGACTGGCTTATCTAAAGCCAGTTGAGTAGCACTTGAAATGTTTTGGCTCTATGAAACCTGATGCACTTATATGAGTCTGTTTTCTTCTAGTTTGTATCTTCCTGGTCGAATGCACTTATTGTAAATCGCTTTGGATAAAAGCGTCAGCTAAATGCAATGTAATGTAATGTAATCGACCATGATATCCTATTGCAAAGACTAGAGCATTTAGTTGGCATAAAGGGAACTGCTTTAGGCTGGTTTAGGTCCTATCTATCTGAACACTCTCAGTTTGTGTGTGTCAACGATGAATCTTCCATGCAAACCAAAGTTAGCCATGGAGTGCCACAGGGCTCAGTGCTTGGACCTATTTTGTTCACATTATATATGCTTCCCTTAGGCAATATTATAAGGAATCACTCTGTACATTTTCATTGTTATGCGGATGATACTCAACTATATTTATCCATCAAGCCTGATGAAACCAATCATCTAAATAAAATTCAAGACTGCCTCAAGGACTTAAAAACGTGGTTGACCTTAAACTTTTTGATGTTAAACACGGCCAAAACTGAAGTTATTGTACTCGGCCCAAAGAATCTACGAAACAAACTATCTAAAGATATACTAACTATGGATGGCATTAATTTGGCCTCCAGTGAGACTGTAAGGAATCTTGGTGTTATATTTGATCAGGATTTATCTTTTAACGCCCACATAAAATCAATCTCAAGGACCACCTTTTTTCATCTACGTAACATTGCAAAAATCAGGCATATCTTGCCTCAAAACGATGGAGAGAAACTAGTCCATGCATTTGTTACTTCAAGGCTGGATTATTGTAACTCTTTATTATCAGGGTGTACCAAGAAGCCAGTTAAGTCGCTTCAGCTGATTCAAAATGCTGCAGCACGTGTACTAACCAGAGTTAGTTATTATAGCCAATTTAACATTTTGTATTAATGGTAAGCTTAATAGAGGTAGGTGAGGTAAAGGTGAGGTCTGTCACGGCCACTTAAACAGCAGATCTGTCAACAATACACACACACAGTATAAATATTATTTATCATATATCATTATATTTATCATTTTCAGTGTGTTAAACTTTTTAAAAAGTGTTTGTTTAGCCGCGACGAGCAAACAAGCTACAGCTACTGAGAAGAAGAAACCTGCAGCTGGTAACACACACACACACACACACACACACACACACACACACACACACACACACACACACACACACAACACACACACACACACACACACACACACACACACACACACACACACACACACACATAGTATAAATATTATTTATTATTAATTATATTATTATTTTATCATTTTCAGCGAGATGGACCAGGAAGATTTCTAACGTTTTTTTTTTATCTTGTGTTTGTTCAGAGGTTTCCGGCGGCAGTGGTGAAACCCAGAGCCTCATCGACTCCACCCGGAAGCTCGCCCTGAACCCTCAGGCTCCACAGGTAGAAAATCGGACTGGTTTGTCGTTGTTGCACAACAAGGGAAAAACACCCAGCCTGATTATCAAGAATCCTGGCTGACGAGTCAAACAAGGAAGCCATTCAAAGTTGGAGTCTTTAACAATCAATGGGCAGATCCACTATGTTTGCCAACGTGCTGTATTCAAGAGGTACAACAGGAAACTCCAATTGTGGTTTACTCATGTACTCAAGTACTGTACTTAGTAGGGGTGGGAATCACCACGATATGATACTATCGCGTGTGTTTTTTAATAAATGGACTGGCCCCCCTCCCTTAGGGGAATTCATCCACAAAAAACACACTGGACGCTGCACTAGGTCAGAAACCAGAGGAGACTGTGAAGTCCACTGTAGATGGACCACTTTCGGACAAAATGTACTTTCCATTAAAGGCAGCTCATTCTGGAATAGCCTCCCTACTGAGATACGGGATTGTCCCACTCTCAATAGCTTTAAAGGTCAACTCAAAGAATGGTTGGGAAACAACCAGACGTGTAATCACCGCTAAATGCACTTTAACACTGGGGTATCTCCTCTTGCACTTTATGCATCTCTTGTATCCTCTCTTGCACTTAATATGTCGTTGCTGCTACATTGTGCTGCCATGTGGTAAATTATTGTGTGTGCTGCTCTTGCTCTTTTGCATATCATGTATTTATGTTTTGCTATGTTTACAAATGTCATGTTCTTATATGTTGTATGTCAGGGACTACGGATGGAAATTAGCTCAAAGCTAAAATCCGGCACTTGAAGCATTATTTGTCTAAAGTGTTCATTAATATGCACTGTCCCTATTCAAATAAACAATTAAAAAAATTGCGATACTTAAGCCACGATACGATAGTATTGCGATTCTACGATATGCTAAGTATTGCGATACGTTAAATTGCGATATTGCAGATCACATGGGTCATGTCCATGTCTGTCTTCCCTTCCTGGTTAAAACATGTATTTGCAATATGAATAGTTTATGATGTAAATAACCCAATGTGTGTTCTTTGAACCTGAAAAGGAGATGGCATTGTTTTTGTTACTTTCATTGCGATTGTATACATGTCTTAACGTAACTTCCTGTTTTATATGGACATGCTTTTATTTTGAAGGCGGCTTTGCGCTATTAGCAGAAAGTTCAGCTAAATAACCAACCAATCCAGCTTTATAATCCTGAACGTCACCAAGCGCTCCAGTCCAAGCCCCCAGGAAGTGCGCCGGACTCAGATGAAAATATTCATGCTGGCCAAACGGCGGTACTACACTTCCTTTTGGTTGCCAGGCCCGGAAACACTTTTTCCCATTGACTTACATGGGGAAAGAGTGGTCTGTAAATCGTTGGATAATTTTTTTTAAATTAAATAAACTACCCAGTATGAACACTTGTATAGCCCTTACTAAAAACATTTGTTCCTCAAGTTGTAAAAATGTGCTAATAACGTTATTCTGAGAGTTATTTCCCTCTGCATTATGAACCCGCATCTAACCCACAGGACCGCGCCGCCCGGCACGTTCATGTTACGTGTTCAGCACTACATGCGTTTATCTTTACCCATGGATGCACAATAAGAATGGACCCATATCGCCTTACTGCCAGCCCACGGAGCTGTAATAATGGATATAGTGCACATGTTTGCTGTAATTCATAATTTGTAAAATATTATACTACATGGGCTGTATGATTAAATCTTGTACCGTAAATGTTGTATTAAATAAAGTTAATATTACCGACGTAGATTAACGTCCCTGTAGCTTCTTATTGCACTAAGAAGCTTATTGCACTGTATATATATACATATATATATATATATATATATATATATATACAGTGCAATAATTCTTTCATGCTAAATGAAGCTCTGTTGCTTGGATATCACTAGATCCTGTTACAGCGTAATATAAAAGTACATAACGATTGATGTGTAAATTAGCATAATTACTAGCTAACCGCTAGCTGCTAACTGCCGCCTCGTTAATATCAAATCTATCATAATAACAAACCATTACCATGCTGTCATGAACGTGCGGTGCTGTTACGTGTACGCAAATTGACGTGCTTGATGTGAACGAGCATTTTGGGGGGCATGGTTAAAGTTGCGCATGCGCTATGAGCGCACATACGGGTACTTCTCAGGCATGCCGGGTAATCTGTGACGTTTCGCTCTCTCAAAAGTTGGGCCATTTTATCATCATGCGCGAATGAGCAACTCTCATAGGAATGAATGAGGCCCCGTCTCCCACGCTGTATCCAGTTCTTATTATACATCCATGCTCCAGTCCCAGCTGTGTGCGTCACTCTTTAGTGTCTCCTGGTCTCCCAGCTGTGTGCGTCACTTTTTAGTGTCCCCTGCTCTCCCAGCTGTGTGCGTCTCTCTTTAGAGTCCCCTGGTCTCCCAGCTGTGTGCGTCACTCTTTAGTGTCTCCTGGTCTCCCAGCTGTGTGCGTCACTCTTTAGTGTCCCCTGGTCTCCCAGCTGTGTGCGTCACTCTTTAGTGTCCCCTGGTCTCCCAGCTGTGTGCGTCACTCTTTAGTGTCCCCTGGTCTCCCAGCTGTGTGCGTCACTCTTTAGTGTCCCCTGGTCTCCCAGCTGTGTGCATCACTCTTTAGTGTCCCCTGGTCTCCCAGCTCTGTGCGTCACTTTTTAGTGTCCCCTGGTCTCCCAGCTGTGTGCGTCACTCTTTAGTGTCCCCTGGTCTCCAAGCTGAGCAAAGAGCTTTCAGTCGGAGACGTTAACAACATGAAGCCCAATGAGTACTTTAGGAAAGTGTCTCTCAACTCAACTCAGTTCACCAAAATCACCAAGGTACCTGACTGTCAGTAAATCTCTCTAAAAAGGTCAAATGTCACTTGTTTTGCATCAATCCTGATACAGGGTACTTATTATATGTTATAGTTTGGATTCCTAAAGCTTTTAGTCTACTATCCTATCATCCAAGGGTGGTTTTCACTATAAGTAATGTTTTATTTTGGATGGAAACTATAAACCAAACCATTGTTCACTGGAGGGGGGGACTCCCTTACATATTTGTACTGTTCCAACTTGACAGCAAATCAAGATTTCAGTACGATCCAAACAGGTTCTGACTTCCTTCTCCTCTGACTTCCTCTCTATAAATCTGATAAAAAAATCTACCCAGTGTCAAAACCCAGGCTGAGGTTGAAGGAAGAGACGCAGTAAGTTCACACTCAGCTTGTTCAGAAAATCTATCTGTGAGTAACATGTAATTATGATTTTACTTAAGGGTTACTTTAAGGTGTTTTAGTATTCCCTGCTACTTTAAACTGTTAATGTACTTCACTTCAGAGGTATATCTCCTTCCTGTTCGGTGAAAACCATGAATCCTATCAGTATTGAAAAATGGGAAAAGAAAAAGTAAAATATATCCTGAGAGGTTAGGGTTAGTACACTACTACTAACGCTCTATAAATAAAATGCAGATCGTGTACTTGAGTAAAAGTAGAAGTACCAGAGATTTTTTGTTTTATATATTATGTATGCACCATCATCAGAAGAATTTCATCAAGTGAAATTCCTCGTACGTGTGAACCTACCTGGCAATAAACCCATTTCTGATTCTGATTTTCTGTAGGAATACTCTGTTACAGTAAAAAGTACTCAGATCTTGTTCTTGAGTAAAAGTAGAAGTACACAGATCTAGTACTTGAGTAAAAGTAGAAGTACCAGAGTGTAGGAATACTCTGTTACAGTAAAAGTCCTGCATTCAAAATGTTCCTCAAGTAAAAGTAGGAAAGTATTCTCATCAAAATATAGTGAAAGTAGCGACAGTAAAAGTAGTCATTGTGCAGATTGGTCCATTTCAGAATAATATATATGATATGTTTTATAATGATTGATCATGAAAGTGTTCTCAAAGCTGGTAAAGGTGCAGCTAGTTTGAATGACTTTGTATACTGCAGGGTAGCTTGTGAATTTACTCCAGGTGGAACTAAAGTCTGATTTAACACTTGATTATATTTCACATCATTCATCCACATCTGTGAAGTAAATAAAGGTGTACAATACATGTAGTGGAGAAAAAGTACACCGTTTACCTCTGAACTGTAGTGGAGTAGAAGTACAAGTACCTCAAAGCTGTTCTTATGTAAAGTACTTGAATAAATGTACTTAGTTACCTCCCACCTCCTCCTGTTTGTGCTCAGATGGACCTGAAGGCGAAGTGGAGGACGGCGCTGAGCTCCATCCTGGACGAGCTGACGGACGACGAGTTCCAGAAACTTCTAGATAACCTGGAGAAGATCCCTCAGGAGGTGAAGGGGGGGCTGCCGCCGGGCGACATGCCCAGCATCATCATCCAGTACTACGGCCCCGAGGGATCCATCGCACTTATCAACCGCCTGATGAAGATCTTGTCCAGGCTGGACGCCGCCGTGCTGCAGCCGCTCAAAGAGATCAAGGACGAGCTGAAGAAACTCCTGCAGAAAAACAAAGGTCAGAAATAACTAAATGTAGAAATAAATCCTGGTCAGCTCAGTGGGGGG